GGACCGCAAGTACGCCAACTCCTTATCCGCCAAGTCAATTGACGCCATACTGACACAACTTGTGCCGGAACTATTTATAGTGTCAGCCTCCATAATCTCGCTAACAGTCCTATCTTTGTGCCTCTCAAGAACAGTAGACGAAGCAAATAATTGTTTGCACCCGCAGTCATGACAGTGACACGACAGATCATCACTGCGAGTGCAAACCATTATTTGCTTTGTCTACTGTTCTTGCTAGGCACAAAGATATGACTGTTAGAGAGATTATGGAGGCTGATGCTATAAATAGTTCTGGCACGTGTTGTGTCAGTGTGGCGTCAATTGACTTGGCGGATAAGGAGTTGGCGTACTTGCGGTCCGTGGCAGGGCCACGGATTGGTTGAGATGTGGTGCGGTGACGCGGTGTGTTTTTACGCTGAGGTTCTTGAATTAAATCAGTTGAAAGTTAGCACTCGGTGGTGTCTGTCCTTCCTATGTCCCCGTCTTTAAAGCGCAATTATGTTTTCTAACGTACCGTACAAACTTGCCCAACAATCAGCACTTGTTAAAAAGTGCTATTGTGTTTTAAGCAGCTCGCACCAAATATTTTCTTGAAATACATAGGTTCATGAAAATTATTATGTAGATGTTGGCAGACAGTCATGGTGAGGCCAATCTTTAATCCCAAGTGGTCCACTTATTCAGAGTTAATTGAGTTTGTAAATATTGTAGGTCGCAAATTAAATTTTTATGGTATGCAATGGGCACAATTATCCGTAATGACTAGCTCTACCTAGGGGAACTTCATACGTTTACTACGGCAAGATGGTTTCGAAAAACAAAGTATTTAGTTTATTCAACTCCTGCACTAACCTTGTCTTTAGAAACTTTTTATATTCTTTGCGATGCTGAGATAAGATTCTGGAAATTGTTTTTCTAGAACTACTCTAGATATTTCCAGTTCATCATTTTTCTCGCAAAGCATTCGAAAGAGCCAAACCCTGTAATGTACGGAGGGAATTCACAGAATGATGCGACTGACAGTTTGGAACATTCGGCACTGTAACAGTAATAATGACATGTCACTTATGTAATGCTCATTATCGCAGATCAAACTGCTTTTTCTGTCTACACTCATTTTCAGTAGACTCATCCAGCGAACTCCCACCTGAGACTGCAGCGCTGGGTTCTGCAAAGTAATTTGAATGAATAATGATGCAACAGGTTTCTTTGAGCGTGCGTCTAACACATATTCTTTATATTGAATCTGCTAAGTGTATTCATGACCATGTCCATAATTGTATCCACATTCCAGCTTATTTTTATTTTGACATTTGAGTTTTCCTCAGTACTTTTCTCAACATCTGTGCTTGTTGAACCATACTCAAGTCCATACATCTTGTCTTTCGCTATTACATTAATATATAAAACTGTTGATGCCGAGTGAGAATTCAAGGTACCGAATCTGTCGTGCGAGCTAAATAAGAACCAATAAAAAGCTATACAAAGGAAATTTTGTTAAAGGAGGCTGTATGGGCATTAGAATAGCACATGCCATGCTAAAAAAAAAAATACAAATTCTTGTTAGGTATGCAAGGATGACAGTGTTGTGCTGTTTCTGATGTGTCACAAAAAACAAAAAAAATCAGTGCCATACAGTGTTCCTTATGGAAGTACAAACTGTTGAATTCGAAGCCCAGAAGTTTTATTCAAGAATGTTCCTCAATACAAATGTATTTTGAGATCTGAGCCACTGACTGATACATGACTATGTGGCAAACATTCATTTTCATGTGCATTATAGTTTACTAGGTCTAGTCTGCATTGATTTATTGCATTCATGCTGAAACTGGGAGGAATTCTCTGGGTATGAATAAAGAGATAAACATTTCTTGATATCAAAACATTTGAGAACGGACAAAAGGAAGGATCTGAGAACGGTATCTTAGATTCTCCTTTTTCTTACAGTATATCTAATGTTCACTTTATTTCACCTGATGCATTTAGTTTCTAGCGCAGCTGTTAGCACCCGTTTCCGCGTTTCGCGGCGTCGCTGTCGGCGTAACCGCCCAACTAAACTTGGCAGGAAATTGAATTAATGTGGTGGTCATGTGACGTTAATATTTCCGCTAAGTCTAGCTGAGAAACTGAGTGTTTTTATGGATGACGTGACACGGTCATGCGACGTCATTTTCCCCGCTACTTTTAGCGGAAAAACTGCATTTGTGTTGAGGTCATGTGACATCAATTTCCGCGCTAAATTTATTGGGAAACTTAACCCGCTAAATTTAGTGGGGAAATTTCCCCCTAAATGGGAGGGAGCAGAAGAGGAGGAGGGGAGGGGAAGGAGGGGCATACCCTCCCATCTTCCTCTTCGAGAGCTGTACTGTATTTTCTCATTACAGAGAATTGTAAACGTCTCATATTTCATCTCATGTTTTTTCAACTTTTATATTGCAGGTGCGCTTGCAGCACAAATCTGGGTTGTGCTGATCCTCTACGCACAAGTTAGGAACTCCTGAGTGACAAGAGTGGGAGTTTGGTCTGACAGCTCAAGGGACACCATTGTTCAGTATTGAATTTTTAATTATCTTCTTTTGAGCAAAGTTAAGCTTTGCTGCATGCAGTTCTTCTAAAAATAAATACCTGCAACCAAATTTACCAGGTCACGACATTTTGCCTCTGCTCTTAGTGCTCCTGGTGAGCCTCGGATGAGAGCTTACTGGGGTGCAAACATCATAATTGTTTGAAACCACTCACTGATGTAGAGACTTATTGACATCCAGCATTCCAATGAAACGCTGGATATCCACAAGTCTTTCTTGAACAATGCAAGCGGGAAAGGAACCATACAATCATATTGTATTGGGGGACATTCTACAGAGTGTTTTTTTGTATATTTTACAGATTTTTTTAAAAAAAGCCGTAAAAGCTACATTTACGCAGTCTGTACACGTGAATTATATGGCCAGGGCGGCATAGTATAAAAGGCTAATTTGTAATGATCAGTCGGCTTATTACAGAGATGTGCCAGACTTCTTTCAGAAAACTAGATGGAGGTTCATTCTCGCGTGGTTTTATCCCGCGAATCTGAATATCCCGTTCGTTTTCCACAAAGATGTAACTAAACGTGAGAAAACACAAAAAAAACATCCTACCAATAGTGACATCGTAAGAAGACCTTTCAGCCGCCAAGTGCATGTCGCTTAAGGGCCGCGCGTCCAGTCGCAAGTTTTCTAGGTATATTCTCCCGCATTGGCACCAGTCGTGACACATTTTTCTGCCCCTTTAAAAAATAGCATGTGCGTGCATAGCTTTCATAGGCACTGAAGATGCGTGAACAAAGATTTTGAAAGCTGCTCTTGTGACGTCCCTCTCTAGGGAAGTGCTTTCAAAGCGCTTTAAAAATGACTCTATGCAGCCTCGATTAATTAAATTAGCAAATAATTTTGATATTTGAGATTCTGGAGGTCAAATTAAGAAGATTTAAAAGTGTTTTCTCAAATACAAAACCGCTTCAGCCTCTCTCTAAGTATAGTATGTTCCTAAAATTTTTAATCAGTGAAAATAGACCCATGGTTCCAATTAGAAACTTCTAAGCATCATCAAAACACACTAAATCAATTTTCTTTGTGAAGATATAAGACAAGAGCAGCATTTTATGGTGTTCTAAAAGAATGGTCAATTTGGACGCGTTTCCAGACTTCGGTTTCTTACCAGAGCGCATCTTTGCACCTACGGTCCTGCTGCCCGGTGGCCGCAGTGCGAAGCCGCCCCCTCGCCTCCCTCGTAGGATGGAGGGAAGCAAGGCGCACGTGTGTTGCGCGTCTAAGCCCCTGGGGAACAGGACCGTGGGCGCAAAGATGAGCTCTGATAAGAAACTGAAACCTAGAAACTCGTCCAAATAAAGCATTTTTACAGAACGCGTAAAATGCTACCCCTGCATTATATCCTTCTAAAAAGAGTTGATTTTGTGGTTTTCAGTGACTCAGCAAGTTTCCAATAGAAACCATAGTTTCATTTTCACTAATTAAAAAGTTAATTAACAAATTGTATTTAATTATCTGACTGATCGTTACGACTAGGTCCCTATACTACGTACGCCTGGCCATATAACACTCCTGCACAAATCGCATTAATTTAGCTTTCACGGCCTTTCTAAACATATATGTAAAGCTTAAAACTAAATTGCCGTGTACAACAGTGAAAAGGCGAAACCACCATGTTGGAGCCATATGGCTCCAACATGCCGGTATCGCCTTTTCGCTGGTATAGGATGTCCCATATTACGTTATCCATGTATGGTTCCGTCCGCCTACATGGTTCCGCCATAATCCACTACGCCGGTATAGGATGTCCCATAATACGACACGCTTGTATGGTTCCGCCTACCTGTATCGTTCCGCCGTAATCCACTATACTGGAGCTGCCTTTTCGCTTGTATAGGATGTCCCATATTACGGTTACGCTTGTATGAGCCTTTTCCATCATCTTTCCATCATCGATATTTTCCAACAGGGTTCTGCTGCTTCGTTCTCGGTTCCTTAGTCGCTGTGGCTATGAAGTACAGTTCCATTCGTTGCTTGAAGCGTTTCTAGTTCTCGGCCGTGTCTTCCGATAGCCGGAGTCCTCCTGGTGGCTTCAGCTCAGCCATGCCAAATCTCGCGTTTCGCTCACCTCAAAGTGGAAGATTGTCATCCCACTTCTGACACCATGTAACGGTGGGTGATTAGCACAAAGAGGAGACAGGCATGATTGCTGACACGTCTCGACGCCCGAGCCCTGGGCCGACGTTCCATTTATTGGCACGTGCTGCCTGGTGCCTGCGCACCTGCAGACGATGATGTTGCTAGCCGATTGCCGATACAGCCAGACAGAGCCTCGGGACTATGGTAGCGTCTGTGCTACAAGCAGAGCCTCTCGCCTGTGCATTAGATTACTCATTAGTATACGTGATCTAGACAAGCACCTAGCCTAGTCACACAATTTTACTTAGCAGCCTGACAAGTAAAGAAGAAAAAAATAAAATAGGGTCCGCAGGGTAGTGAATTGCTTACCTTGCAAGAACGTACCTCGGGACAATGATGGCATCACTGCTAGGTGCAAAGCTTCTGGCCTGTGCATCAGAGTAGTCATTAGTAAACGTGACCTAGCTAGGCACCAAGCCCAATTTCACAATACATGCATTACAACCTAAAAAAAAAAACAGTGCAGGATAGTTGGTTGCTTACCTACCCAGAAAGGGCATCAGGACTATGGTAGCGACTGTGCTACAAGCAGAGCCTCTCGCCTGTGCAGTAGAGATGAAAGTCATTAGTACACGTGATCTAAGCAAGCACTTAGCCTAATTTCACAATATATGCTTAACAATCTGACAAGAAAGCAAAAATCAGCAGGATAGTTGATCGCTTACCTTGCCAGACGGTGCCTCGGGACTATGGCGACATGTGTGCTAGCAGCAGAGCTTCACTCCTGTGCGTTAGAGATTCGAGTCATTAGTACACGTGATCTAACCAAGCATTTTATGTTATCGCACACTTCACAGGTGCGTGAGATGACTTGCATACTACAAGCACAAGGAGACACTCGCGTTTTTGAACCATTAACACTTCAACACCTAATTGTTGCTGTAGTGTGACAAAGTGTATGCTTCACAAATGAAAAATGCAATAAAACGTGTAGTCTAATTTTACAAATTTTGCCCAAGAAAGATTCTGACAAGTAGGGTACCAACATGACAATTCAAAGTTAGCCAATCTCGAGCTTCGCAAAAGTTAGCATCCGCGGGTACAGCCACTGCACATGTTTCCGAATAGAGCTCTCAAAGTAACGCCAAACTGAGCACCACACACAGCGAAGCTGGTGAATGCTGTCCTAGAGTTCCTGCATAGGCCCCCTATGGGAGCCAGAGTTGCGCGTCTTTTCTCTACGTGCCGCCGCGCCGCTATTTGCCGAGATCCGACCACGTACCGTGCAAGAAAGTAACGTTGCACGCGCCCCGCCGTACGCACCCTGCTTTTGAGCGCGCCGCGCGCCTCGTCGGTTCGAGAGTCAATGGTTCCAGTACCCTCTCCCTCTTCGTAGTGGCAGAGCAGGGAGGGAATATGGTTTCGTTGTGTCGACCTCGGGGGCGGAAGATTACGGGGACAAAGGCGAGTTTGGGGGAGCAGTATCTAGGTCACAGCGCCTCAATGGTTGAACAGGATGTAGCTGACGTTTTGGGTGTGGAACGGGTGGGAGAGGCCTTGCGCGCGCGTTGTTTTCTCGACATTTAGCCTCGTGTCGAGGTGGCAGCACATATTCGCCAAGAGGTCCAAAAGTCGCGTGAGGAGCTGGATCAACATGCCGTGCAGGAAAAACGGCGCTACAAAGATGAACGCGGAACTCTGACTCCCGTAGGGAACCGATACAAGAACTCTAACTGCCTTGTCCCGAAGCGCCACCTTAGTTCCATCATCCGCACGGAACATCGCATTGCATAACCATACGTGCGAGCGAAGCCGGTAACAAGCGCGAGCATGTTGCTCTGCAATCGAACTATACGTTTCACCGACAGATCGTTTTATAGATAGGCGATGATTCATCGCCAGAATGCTTGATCGACAGCACAAACTACCTTTTTTTCTGTAAGGAGCCGCCTCACACTGTTGCCACGAAGCGGATAGTACGTGTAGGATACACCCGCGACGAAATGTCCCTACAACGCTAAATCCGCGTAACGAGTGTCGATGAAACGGTAGTGTCGACGAACGAGAGTCCATGAAACATCTGTCCACAAATCGTGTTTTTTGGCGAACCGATAGAGACCCGTTGCTCTGAATGACGCCAGCTCTACACGGAAGAATAATGTCTCGAAGCTGCGATGTCGTGCTCGTTTGTACACTCAGAGAACCGGGCACCGCCACCGCGCACACATGCCACAAATACAAAAGCGAAGAAACTCTGACATAAACAGGAGAAAAAGGAAAGCACGTCTCAGCCAGCAGGCCCCATGCCTCGCAAAACGCAGCATCCAACGAGTGCATGTAAACGACAGACTTACCTTTATCGGGCGTGCACATCTTGGTTTGTGACTGCAGCTACGTGCCAAGCATCGCTTCGTGAACACGATCCGCTTTGTCCAACCACCTTATAAAAAAACACGCAATTCAAAATAGCGCGAATGAACAAAGGCGACGTCACCCGCCAACCGAAGCAAAAGTATGGCCGCCGAAGCACGCCGACATGGAATGCAGGAGGTCAAGCCTCTTAGCAACACGAAGGCCAGATAACGCGCGAAACGCGATCGGTATCGCGATAGGTTGTCAGTCGGATGACGTGTAACCAGTAACTGCTAATCAGGACGCGCGCTCTACTCTATTACCGTGCGCATTTTGTTTGTTTTCTTGCGCTCTCCTGATAGCACTCGCTCTCCCCTTTTTGAAAAAGGAAAGGGGGGGGGAGGGTGTAATGGTGCACCTAGCAACTCCCTCGCCTCGCCCGCCGATTCCTTTGGGAGAGGAGGATTCGCGTGATGGGAGTGCGATTACGCTCGCCGGGTGTCTCCATGCAGTCGAAGGGGGGTGTAAGGGTGCGCGATACACCCACATACACCCTTTTTTTCTGAGAGTGTGCGTTCATTGTAAGCGACCGCAGACTTTCCTTTCACGCAGTGATGAGATGCACGACTTCGTCAAGGGGGCAATCGGAATTGAAACCATGCCGCTTCTCTCCATGGCGGAAGAGATCCCATAATGCAGCGCGCGTAGTGCTGCAATCGGTGCATTTCTGGAAGTGGTCTACTGACCCTCTTCGAAATTCAGTCTGGGAACTCTAATCACTACTATCAATTCAGTGCAGGTCCATGGCCTCTTGTATGGCTCTGGCATCTGTGCAAAACTAATGGCGGCCTTCTTGGGGCTGATTAAGAAAGAAGTTGAAGATACTGCCAAGTGGAGGATATATATACCCTGTACTTTCTAGATGTCATTACAACACGACGCGAGTATTAGATACAACGGTTGTGTAAGTGTTTATCTCAAAGTGTGGTCCAATCACTCCCTTTGGCGAGAGTTTGGCTCTAAAACCGTTTGATGGCGAAGATTTAATTAAGAGGCTAACGCTGGTCAGTTCTGTTCACACCATAAAAACTGAAACAAATCAAGAAAGCATTATGAGGGGATCGGATGTCCAGTTCTCACATGCTATTGGCGTCCGAAAGGGACGTGACGGTGACGGTTTCATGACTGCCTTAGTTTGTCGTAGGAGAAACTGCTTTTTGAGCCACCAGATGGCGCTGAATTTTGAAAAGGGTAGCTATTGCGCCCGCTTCGTACTAAGCACCGAGATGGCGGCCCCGTCAAACAAATCAAGGAATAGTGTGCCGATACTACTTAGTGGCGCTAGTTTGCACCAAAGCGGACCCTGGCCAATGCTACGTGTCTTTCAAACTACTCCAGCGCTACGAGCGTACCGCGCGATCCTGCGATTGGGCGCATTCAGTGAGCATATCTGCAGTGCAGACATAAGCTCTCGCTTAAAGCTCCGCTGTTTGGCCTCGGCTTGTCCGTCGAAAAGCCAAAAAAGCCTTCCCTGGGCGTTTACTGCCACGTCAAGCCGGCTTCGGGTCACCGGAGGGGATAAGCTTTCTCGACACGTCCCCGCATATTTCTGAGTGACCTCGGGCGCCCGGTGGGAAAAAAAAAGGTCCGGGAATTAGGGAGGCTGCTTGAGTATGCAGGTCGAGGAGCCCCGCTCTAAGGCGATTCCCTCGTAGATACGCGGAAGATCACTTTGGCGGGATATGGCGACGACCAAAGAGCGGTATTCCTCGGGGGGATTCTCGCGGAGGATGCGGCTTTTGCGGGAGAAGTAAAGGGGGTTTTGTGCACGCGAAAACAAGGGCTTATTCTCTTGGGATTGTCTAGCATTGTTTTCTTCCTTAAAGAAGACGTCTTTCCTAGAGCACGACTTCAACGTCGCGTAGCTGCGATGGTGCTGCTGTCAGCCACGGCTGTAGCGTAACTCTATACACTTTTCCAGCGACGGACAAAATCAGAAATGACAGTAATGACATTATGCTAATGAAATTTCGGTACTTAAATTATTTTTTCGTGGTAATGAGTAATATAATGAATGATTTTCTATAGGCGGTAATTTAGTGATGTACTGGCTTACTTACAGGCAGTAATTTCGAAAACATTACTGATTACTTTTGTAATTACTCTTGTCCCAAATACGAAAGTGCGTTTGCGAGCTTTAAAAAATTAAAATAAATAAATATTGCATTGTGAAATATCGTGAAAGGGCCATCAGAGCAGATAAACGACGGCCATCTCAGCGCAAAGCCTGGTACGAAGAACTGGACAGACGCATAAATTTGGGTTGGAAAGGCGAAGGAGAAAAGCTTACATGGTAAAGACATCGCTGAAAGGATAAAAGATGTGAGCCAGCAAAACGACTTTTCAGTATGACTCACGAACTCCAGGCGAGACACATTCACGGCGTCACGTCATCACAGCGATACTAGATTTCGTTCATCTCTAAGCTGACAGTGCGGTGGGAGTACGAGATCACCAGTACCAATCTACCGCCTTCCTTTGTTCAGCTAACCGGTCCCTTTTTCTGCGCGTGGTTATGAGCGAGACGGTGGTTACGTGGCGAAAGATAGACTTGTTACTGTTCCAACGAGCACGTAACTTCCACCCACTGTCATCTTAAAGATGAGCGGCTTATAGGCTACAAGGCGAAGGGCCTATCTCCAGTGAGATCAACAGATTTTAAATCCCAAGAGGGCAGAACAAACCGATCCCAAGCCTTTTTTCTTTTTTGTCAAGCAACGTCAAACTGTAAGCTTCGACCATTGTGAAAACAGACGACCGAAATAAATAGACAATCTAAAATGCCTTGTTCATGCTCCACAATGTTTCGTGCGTATCCTGCGCGTCGTTTCAAAGTAAATGTGAATTTGTAGTCGGAAAAGACGGGAATCGAGCAATGCAGGTGCCGCTCGCTGTATGCCTCGCTACCTTTCCTTGGTAAGTTTATTCTGGAATAAGTCTACGAGCAGGTACGCCACCCGTTTGCTAGAAAAGTACACATTTTAGGAAGCTCGCGCCATCCCTTTCCTGAGTTTCCTCAACTGGCGACACTTCTGTCTAGCAAATATTCAGCCCCCTTGTGTGACAACGCGCAATAGCTAGGGATTTTCGGGTTTTTAGAAACAATACACATGGAGAGGAATGACCGGGAATATGTCAACTAGTGCTCTTGGAAGAATAGGACTATATTGCGTCCGAAGTGGAAGGGAAATGTTTCACGTATAACCCTTTAACTAAGGACCTTCTCCGTTGAATGAACAGTGATACGGGTGGGTGGAGTGTTTTCGGGTCACATGTAAAGAAGAAGCTATTCATCATGTTTTGGTATTTGTGCCGTGTGCATCAGCAAAACGACTGTGCAGTATGGTTCGCTTTGAGGTGCAAACACAGTTTTGCTGTAGACAGGAAGATCGGAGTTTTGGTACATCTACTTTAAATAAAATGAGCACGAATAACTGTCTCAAGGTATCGAAACGTAATGTCAAAGTAATTCCATTACATCTGGAAAGTAACCGAAATGTAATCTCATTACTTTTAGTCTGCGGTAATTTGTAAGGTAATGTAATTACATTTTAGCAGTTTTCAAATAAAGATAATTAATTTGATTACTTTTTGAAAGTAATTTTGCCATCTCTGGGGAAAATAAATGCAAAAATATATCACAATAAAAATGCAAAACATTTTGAGAAAAAAATGAAAGACGTTTACAATTATCTATTATGCCGAATTAAAGCGCAGCTCTTGAGGAGGAGGAGGGAAGGGTATGCCCCTCCTCCCCCTCCGTACCCTCCCCTTCTACTCTCCTGATTCCCTCCAATTTAGCGGGAAATTTTCCCCGAATTTCTCGCTAAATTTAGCGGTGAATGTTTTACGCAAAATTTAGTGGGAAAATTTCAGGCTAAACCTATAGCGAGAAAATTTTACCGCTACATTTAGAGAGAAATATTTCTGCTAAATTTAGCGCGAAAACTGCTCCGCTATATTTAGCGGGAAATATTTACCGCTAAAATTAACGGGGATATTTTTCAGCTAAATTTAGCGGGAAAAGGTTTCCTTTAAATTTCCCGCTAAATTTAGCGTGGAATTTTTTTTCTCATAAATATAACGCGGAAATTTTTCCGCTAAATTTCACGAAGAATTTTAGCGAAAATTTTCCTGCTAAATTTGGTGGCAAATTTATCAAAAACCTTTCCGTTAAATTTAGCGGGAAATTTTTCAAAATGTAACACGCGCGGTTACGGCGCCGGGGACGGCGCCGCCGCTCAAGCCGGAACCGGGCGCCTAAGAGCTGCGCTCTAAAATGTATTTTGTTACGTATTCAATTCCGCTTTACACAGACGTATTTCAGTACAAGGTACGAATACGAGGGATATTTGATTATCTTTGAATACGTTTACAGATACATTTAAAGGGGCCCTCCAACAGTTTTTTGACCGGTTAGAAGTTCGCGCTTAAACGGAGCTCCATGAAAGCAGGAACACCGAGGAAAAAAAATATTACAGAAATTCGCGATATTTTGTGAGTTATTAGCAAATTAAATATTGCAGAAAGCAACTTTAAATAAGCAAAACATTGCGCTTCATGACGTAAAATGAAACAGTTTGGCGATTGGAGCAAAGTGGTTCGCCAATTGGACGCGAGTTTGGTTGATAGCCTGTCGGCCCGGTCGGCTCGTCGGCCATTAGGCCTAGCTGCAACCATCGTAGCTTTGGGATCGGGTTGACATCATCGATGAATTTAGCGGGCTTATCAGATTTTGAGTGCGGATCTGGGCGTCGCGCCGTACGAGGACACTTCACGCAAGCGCCGCGTCTCTGCCTCAGTCCGCTTCGACAGCCGCGGAAGACTCGTCTCCCGCAACTCCACCACCGGAGCCACCTCGGCGAGTAGGAGGTACAAACTGGTGAGCGGCACCGTTGGGTACCATATAAGCTGGGTCCCGTCGCCGCACTTCACTCGAACAGTGAAAAGACTGTCACAGCACTAAAAGAAAATAAGGGTTCT